AAAACTGGCATGTAACCATAAAAAAGATATTACTATACAAAACAATACATGCAAAAATTGGGCTATAGATCGCCAGCAACTGACGGTAGACCACCATGAAGGTAGGGACCATTTGGACTTACAGTTCCTTTGCTACTTGCATGGACCCCAGCAGGATTCACACCATCCCTTTAGGTGCAGGCGATTATTGACAAGTTCAGCCTAACATTAAAACAACACATATTCTAAGATTAAAAATATAAATTTTACAGCATATAGGTCACATTACAAGCGATAATGACGTTTTCACATCAATCAACACAATGACACTTTAAATCTGTATTAAAGTCTCTCCTGTATCTTGGCCACCAGGTTTGAAATCTTTGGCACAGAAAAAAGACATGTACTCTTTTCTTTATCTTTGATAATAAGGACAACGGTCATGACATTTTAGAAAGTGGTATTCGTATTATTCGTGGAAATATCATTAAAGGTATTACAACTCGTCTGCCAATGAAGATCTAATCAAGCAAAAGACAATTTTAATTAGGATCCAATCAGCTTGTCACAATGTTTAATCCGTTTGATGCTTATCCTTACTGACTTCATTACCCGTGTGCTTCATTACCTGTGTGCTTCATTACCTGTGTGCTTCATTACCTGTGTGCTTCCTTACCTGCATGCTATTTGATTTTCTTACTGTACATCTGACTTCATTACCCGTGTGCTTCATTACCTGTGTGCTTAATTACCTGTGTGCTTCATTACCTGTGTGCTATTTGATTTTCTTACTGTACATCTGACTTCCTTACCTGTGTACTTCATTACCTGTGTGCTTCATTACCTGTGTGCTTCATTACCTGTGTGCTTCCTTACCTGCATGCTATTTGATTTTCTTACTGTACATCTGACTTCCTTACCTGTGTACTTCCTTACCTGTGTGCTTCATTACCCGTGTGCTTCATTACCTGTGTGCTTCATTACCTGTGTGCTTCATTACCTGTGTGCTTCATTACCTGTGTGCTATTTGATATTCTTAATGTACATCTGGCTTCATATATATATATATATATATATATATATATATATATATATATATATATATATATATATATATATATGACATGTTGTGATGACCAGCAGATAAACAGAGACAACAACAGGTGATAGATAAAAAGAAATTGCATACAGATAATTGGATGAAGCCAGATATATATATATATATATATATATATATATATATGACATGTTGTGATGTACCTCTCATCACTTGGTTGTTGTCACTCCAGCTTGATAACGGTGTAAGGATTTACATCGAAACATCGCTACATGCAATAAACCAGAGGTTGTTATCCATAAAGTCCATATCAACTACTACTACTACTACTACTACTACTACTACTACTACTACTACTACTACAAGAATACCAATCAAATACACAGCTATACTCAAAATTGTTAAATGACTATAATATCTCAATCCAACAAAAAAAATCTATTTTTACAGCTTCAGCTCATACAAAGATATATAAAACATACCACACAAATTTAAATTAAGGATGGCAATAATCAGCCCAACAATAATATAAGTTCATGGTTTTCAACATAATAACAATAAATCGTGATAACATGTGTAATTCTAATACATTGCTAATGTTCAAGTGGGTGAGTGAGTGAGTATGGTTTTACGCCGCTTTTAGCAATGTTCCAGCAATATCACAGCGGGGGACACCAGAAATGGGCTTCACACATTGTACCCATGTCTGGAATCGAACCTGGGACTTCGGCGTGACGAGCTAACGCTTTAACCACTAGGCTACCCGACGCCCCTCTAATGTCCAAGAGGCTATTAAACTAAGTCCTAGCTAGCATGGCTATATCTATTTCTGTATGAGCACGTAAGTATATAATGATATTCATCACCCAAGTCGTTTCTATTGCCTAATAAACACAGTCAGACCTGTATCCATCTACCCTTGTCAACTGGTAGTCTGTGATGAACCTACAATCTTAACAAGAGACTCAGCAAATAGTCTTCAATTACAGCATTCTCTTTGAAGAGCCTATAAAATATACCTTCCGCAGAGTTAATTACATTAGTAGTCCACAGCTGTTCAAACTGATCAGAAAGAACTTGCTTCATTGTACATTTTTACCATAGGAGACCAGGAAAAGACCGTTCATTCGATGCACAGCTTACACCAAACTTATTAGACAATTTTTAATATGTTCCACCAATTAGATTTAAGAGGAATAATTCCACACAAAACAGCAAATAATTAAGTGGATTTGGCCAGCTTCCCAGTACGCCATATAACACAGTTAGCAGTGGGCAGTACTAATCTTTAGTTTAAGTATATATTTTAAAAACACTGTGTGAATTTTTTCAGGTATATCCAATTTTCCAAACCCATATTTCTGAGAAATGAGTCAAAATTGATGGTAACTGTCTGGTCAAATAAACTTCATTTACTTTAACTATAAGTAAAGCCAAATTTCTTATTCTTACATACAATAAATACAGCTGTTTTGGGCCTCTGCTACATGTGCAGTGTTAGCTTGTAGAAAGATTGAAAATAATATTCAAAGATAATTGTACTGGTTACTATACTTGCAGCTTCAAGTTAAAGCATTTCTAGTTGATTAGCCTGTTCTAGTGTACATCCGTGCCAGACTTCACATGTACATGACGTCTTCACTGTATTTCTATTTAACATTCCTTACACTCATCGAACAAGTCATTGTTTAAGTGGTCTTTGTCATGGTGCTTTTGTGACAAGACCATTTGCCATTCGATGAAAAAGTCAGTTTCCAATGTTAATAATCATTTAAATTGTTCTGTCTTCAAAAGTCAGTATTATCTCGAACTGTGTTTCAATGAGAATATAACTTCTTTTGTTTTATCGGAATTACATGAGAAATTCTTGTTTATTTCCACTTAAAGCTTATGTTTTCATTATTAACTAAACCAAGATATTATCATCGGCAAAGTGTCTTGACACAAAAACAATTCTGTCAGCTTTATCATTCACATACAGTAAAGTACGTTTATAACGAACACGCTTATAACGAACTGACGGATATAACGAACTGATTTTTTTGTCCCGACTATTTGCTATAGTTATGCTGTAGATATGTTTATAACAAACTACGGTTATAACAAAGTAAAGTTAGCGGTCCCTTTGAGTTCGTTATAACCGTAGTTTACTGTACACAATAAAGAAACACGGCACTAAATCAGACCCTTGATCGACTAAATCCTCTAAATTTCTCGGTTTGGATAAAACTCCGTTTACAAAGACCTGCTTACGTCAGTTACGAAAATTATCAATTCACCTTCAATGACATACATTTCTAATTCTATCATAAGCTCTTTACGGCAGACATGGTCAACGGCTTTTGCACATCACAAGACACTAAACAATAACTGATTTTGTCATTCACTATACAAATCTGGCGGTATGTTGAACGATTTCGACATCGCACTGCTACATTTTTTAGAAAAAAATATGACGTCATCCAGTGTTCATATCATAAATTGTTAACATTATGCATCCAGAACAATAGGTTGATTTCAGTAACCCTTTTGTAACTTTGGCATTTATTACAATTTCAATTACAAAATCCTACTCGGGTATCTGAATCATGAGTTATCTGCCCAGTGTGAATAAAGAGTGTAAATCCATTAAATAAGTGTACATAATTCTTTCACAAGAGCCAGAGAAGTCGCAATTCCTCATCGTTCATCGGTTACTTCCTAAATATGATGGAAGTCAAAGTTAAAATGTATCACATATGTGTTACCACTAGTTAAAACTAGTAATTGGATAATGCAACCTCTGAATATTCACGTACAGAAAGAAAAGTTCTCCTCAAACACTGGAATAATACAAGTAAACTATTGTCTTCAAACAAGGTTAAAATTACAGTGTCATTATAGCTTCTAGCACCACAATGTTCCAGTGCACATTAGTATCATCATAAATTACTGACCAACCAGTGGACATGCCTAGAATTGATAGAATAGAACCAACCTAAGATCAAACAGAAAATTATAGAAATTTAAAAAGAATATTGTTACACTGGTTAGACATTTAGCACTGCGATAACACATAACTGCCTCTTTCAATGAATATGTGTTAAATAGGTGAATTTACACAAACCTTATACATTCATCTAAAACATTACATTTGTAAAACCATTTTTTTACAACAAGAATTCAGCTATGTACAGATCCCCAATGCATAATATGTCTTTTTGTACAAAATAGCGACACACTACTTTCCATCTGCACATGTCTCATATCAGTACACTTCTATATGTACAGTAAACAAGAATTACTGGATATGTATGCTGTCATCAGGGAATGTAGGCTCCCCAGGTGTAAATTAAATATGTTGACCTACAGTCTTGGCCACAAGAGATCATATTTACAGGAATATGTTGCATTGTTGGGTCCTGGAGTTTCCTTTTTAATCAATTACATTCGAACCTATTCTAGGACATTTGGTTTTCTTTTTCATCTAATGAGTAACCTTCCACGGTTGGTCACCTCTTTTTCATTATCTTGTTTTTCCGCTCATACAAACATTGTTGCCAGTTTATATCTGGTCCTCTGTGCTTTCTCCATATAACAGTTGTCTTGTTTTCGTCAATTGCTCAGCTGTCTCTCCTCTGCCGTTTTCTATATGAATATCAGCCCCATTGTCAGTGAGAAGCTGATATAATTCACGATAAGAAGGAATGAGGAGATGTAATATTTCATGGCAGTTATCTTCCACACATTTAAAGAAACGTGCAGAGCTTTTTGTCCTTGATTTGTCCATCGGCCATCTTATCAACAAGAAGCTGATACAATTCATGACAATTACCCTCTCGATACGACATAGTGCAAAGCTGTCAGACCGTATTCATCTTGAACATTTATGTGTACGTCTGACACAGTTAGCAACACTCTGACACATGTTATACATTTTGCCCATGTTGCAATATGCATTGTTGTCTGTCCACTCTTGTTTCTCCTATGTATAGTGCTCCCTGCCTTCAATAGGAAATGAAACAACACAGGCATTTGTAAAAGATGCTCTAGGTGTTCTGCCATGTATATGGTGTAAAGCTGTGTTACCATCTTCATCCTGAGTATCTACATCTGACTTACCTAGCAGCATGCTAACACCTTCTCTACACTGCCTCCTTTCTGCAAAATGCAAAGCTGTGTGTCCACTCTTGTTTTTGATCTGCACATCAGATCCGTTCTCAATAAGTAGACGACATATGTCATGACAGTCACTGTTTGGACCTGCACAGGCAGCAATGTGAATAAGTGTATCATTTATACAGTGACAGGTTGAGTTATCATCCTGGCACTGCTGATCCATCTTAGTTGTTGACATACTGATGCACTTTCTACACGGTCTGACAGTTGTTGTCTCTTCTGATTGGTGACTGATCTGGCAAACAATCGTATTAATATCAGTCTGGCCTTTATTTAGCAGACCCAAAGTGTTGATATTTAGACAATGCAAAGCTGTGTTACCGTCCTCATCCTGAGCATTTACATCTAACAGGGTCACCAGCAGTTTAACACTTTTCGCACAATGTAACCGTGCTGCCATGTGTAAAGGTGTCCGATCCCTACTGTTCTTGAGTTGGACGTCTGCATCCTTTTCAATAAGAAGTTTCAATATTCCGTAACAGGTGGATGGAAAACATAGACTGTGTTTTCCATGGTGTAAACAGTGTAAGGCTGTGTTTCCGTCATTGTCTTTTGCATTAACATTTGTCTTAGCACGTTTAGCAGTTACATCAGTAACTAGCAATACTCTGACACCATGAATGCACAAGCCTCGTGTTGCTACATGAAGTGCTATCTCTCCATTCCTGTTCTTGATGTTTACATCTGCACCCTCTGTAATTAGGAGTTGTGATATTTCATGACACACATTTTGATCACATGAAACAGCTTTTCCGACATGTATACGGTGTAAGGCTGTATTGCCATCTTTATCCTGGGCATTTACATCTGACCGTGAAAGCAACAGCCTCACAGCTTCTCTACACTGGCTTCCTGCTGCTAAATGTAAAGCCGTTTCTCCCCTCTTGTTCTCAACATTTACAGAAGCTCCCTCCTTGATGAGCAGCTGATATATTTCAGAACATAGACCTCTACAGCGTCTACGAAACGCTGCATCGTGTATGCAATGTAGAGCTGTATTGCCACCTTCATCCTGAGCATCAACATCTGACTTACAAGTTAACAACGTTCGTACATATTTTCCCAAATGTCTCTTTGCTGCAAAGTGCAGCGCTGTCTTCCCACTTTTATTTGCAATATGTGCTTTGGCTTCATGCTGTAAAAGGAGTTGCAATATTTCGTCACATCCCTCTTTAGAATGTGAACCAAGCATGTCCAAAGATGCAAGGGTTAGATGGTGTAAAGCTGTGTTACCGTCTATGTCCTGTGCATTGACTTTTGATTTTGGTAGCAACAGTCGCACGCCTTCTTCGCATTGTCTTCTTACTGCTAGATGCAGTGCTGTCTGTCTCATCTTGTTCTCTGAGTGAACCTCAGCCCCCTCCTCAACAAGGACCAAATATATATTATGGCAGCCATGTTTATCACATGAACCAATCATTTTCAAAGATGTATCATGTACACTGTGTAAAGCAGTGTTACCGTCTTCATCTTGAGCATTTATATCTGACCTTGTCAGCAGCATCCTCACACACTCTTTACACTGTTTCCTTGTTGCTAAGTGAAGAGCTGTCTGTCCCATCTTGTTCTTTGTCTTTGCATGCAGATCAGCTTTCTCCTTAATCAGAAGTTCTGCTATCTTATCACAACAAGGCCGACTAGACGTTACATCACGATATAGAGAGTGTAAGGCTGTGTTGCCAGCATTGTCCTGATCAAGTACATCAGACGATGGTAGCAATAGTCTGACACAGTCAACACATTGATTAATAGCAGCGAGATGGAGTGGTGACTGACCCTCATTGTTGACCTTGAATCCATCTGTAGCCTTTTCTTTCAGTATGTGTAAAACATCATGACAGTGTTCTACATCAGAAGCTGCCATGTAATGTAAAGCTGTGTTGCCGTCTTCATCAGATACGTTCACATCACATACTGATAGGAAAATGTTCAAGCAGACTTGGCACTGATTCCATGCCGCCCTGTGTAGAAGAGCATGTAATGTCTCGGTTTGTCCAGGGACTCTTTCTTTTGTTACATTTCGTAGGAGCCCATGTAGTTTTTTACTGTGTCCCCTTTCTCCTTGGAGATCATTATCCACAGAATAAGGAATGTGAAAATGATTGTGTAACAATTCCGTCATTGTATCAGGAACATGTTGGCTTATTGCAAGAACCACTATTCTGTCGAGGTCAATAGTTCCACCTGCACACAGAAGAAATGTGATGGCGTCCACAGCTTTTGACAGTCTGATCTGTTTATCTTTATATCCTGAACTATTTGCGCCTGATTTGCAACTAACATCACACATCTGTGTGTGTATTTTAGTTATCATCTGAAGACATCTAGTGTAAAATTGTTTGCAATCTGCCATGTACTTTGTACATATCTCAGTAATGTTTCTGAGAAATGCCACATTGCCATTGGTTAATGCAAAGAAAAACAACCTTTGTATGTCTGTCATTTCAGGATTGATCAATTTTGTCAACTTGGAGCAATTACTGTAACTGAGGTCCAGTGAGTATGTTAGAATATCAAAACATGTCTGTGAAGGCTTTGCCCCATGTTTAAGCAGCATTTCTACTAAATCGTTTTGACTCTTATACACGGCACACAACAATGCCTCGTCTAGGATAAACTGGTCACAAGTGTCAGCAGAGAGTTTGCCAACAATATATTTTGCAAACTCGTTCATGTCGTTAATGATAATGTGGGAAAGACCGTACCTACAAAATATACTCTTCAAGACTGGTATCATATCAAATTCCTCACTGAAAGGAAGTTCTTTGATGTCATGAAAAGTTGTATTAATATTGAATATGTATTGATCATCTTCTACTAGCTGTTTTATGCCTGTAACGTCCCATTCTCTAAATATCTCCTTCAAAATATTCATATCATTTAGTGAAGGATGGGACAACACGATGTGACGGCTCCGGTCGTTTGATAGATATTCTTTCAGTTTCTTTGACAAAATGGGATGGTATTCTTCATCCAAAACAACCAAATCTACCATTTCAGTCTGTCCTTCCTCCTGGCCTCTTGTTCTAATGTACTCCACCAGCATATTAGGTGTGCTTATCTCTGTCCCCAGATCAGGAAATGACTGACATAAATCCACACACAAGACATCCTGGATCGACCTGTGTGAAAACTGGAAACAGGTTCCGGCATCTGTAAGATACTCTCCACACAAAACTTCAAACTCCTTTTTTCGTGGAAGCGGTTGATCCTCCAATCCAGATACTCTTTTCATTTGGGTGCATCGGTCTTTAAAGAGCTGGGGAGGATTTATTGTCTGCACATCTTTTTTTGGAAGACTCCCGTCATATGCCAGAACCATCAGCAAAACAAAATATGTCTTTGGTTCAGCACACATTACACAGTTAATTTCATCTTTGATACATTCAAATGGTTTATCAAAAAACTCCCAACCCCTGTCTTGCACTTGTTTATGTGTTGCAAAATATGTACAGCATTGAGGAAAGCCTAGAGCTGTATGTGTCTTTGCTATACGATGTCTGTCTAAGGAATTTAAATATTTCCCACACAGTTTGTCAATGAATTCAAATTTTTCTTCTTCTTTGAAACAATACTGTCCTTCATCTAAAATAACATCTGATGATTGTCTGATAATGTCATATCGTTGTAAGCTTTGCTTTACTTGAAAGATAATTTTAGGTCTCGATGTTATTACGATCCAAATTTTGCCAGATTGCACCAAAGGCCACACAAGGTCAAATTTCTGTTTCCATCCGTCCACGTAGTATTGTATCAGATTAGTAGATCCAAATATGTCATCAATCATAACCACATACTTATCGGATACACTTAACCCTGGCCTGGCATCGAAGTGGCTAGATTTTGGCAAAAGGTTCCATTCCTTTTGGGATGATATTTTTACCATTTCTCGAGAGAATTCCCTGGAAGCCCTCTCTAACAGCTTGTCGCCAAGATGTGTCTTGCCAGATCCTGATCGTCCCCTGATGAACACGCAGCCTTCCTCTCTCAGGTGTTTGTAGGCAACCTCTTCCACGTGTGTCAAGACATGTTTATTGCAATCTTTCATGTTGAAGTAGAGTTTTGTTTCAGCTGAAAACAGGAAAAAGCATGCAAAAGTACATTGACAATCAATCAAAATTTCCACAGTGTGTGCTGTTGAAGCTATTGTACTCAGCCTATATATCAAGGTTTTATCGCAAGTATATTAATAATATATGAAAACAAATGTCCACAGAACGCCTACAAGGATTACAGTCTACCCTACAACATGGTGAGAAAGTGAAGGGCGAGGTCATTATAAAATTGACAGATTGACAGATTGTACTTCAAATATTGAAATGGTCCATAATGCAGCTGGCAGGGATTCTTTTCAGCGGTACAAGGAAATACAACCATTGACATATAGGACCAAGTTCAACATTCTTCAATACCTAGCATAGACTAGCACCCACGTACACCAATGAGCTCATAAAAGAACAGAACCGTGAAAATCCGGGTTAGAATAGATCTTCAGCAACCCATGCTTTTCGTAAGAGGTGACTACGGGATCGGGTGGTTAGGCTTGCTGACCTAGTTGATACATGTCATCTTATCCTAATTGCGTAGATCGATGCTCATGATGTCAATCACTAGATTGTCTGTTCTAGATTCGATTATTTACAGACCACCGTCATATAGCTAGAATATGTATGTGGCGTTAAACAACAAGCCAGATCAGGGGCGGTCGGATAGACTAGTGGTTAAAGCGTTCGCTCGTCACGCCGAAGACCCGGGTTCGATTCCCGACATGGGTACAATGTGTGAAGCCCATTTCTGGTGTCCCCCGCCGTGATATTGCTGGAATATCGCTAAAAGCGGCGTAAAACCATACTCACTCACTCACTCTAGCCAGATCAGGTAGTCAACATTTGTTGTCCGTGTCCAAATCATTCACCAGGATTGTTTTAGATAGGTCCCTCGCCAAGGCTGTACCAGTACTTTGCAATTGGAACAATCCTCCAGATGCATCCAAGAACTTACTAACTCAACACTCATCATTTCAGACAGTACTTCCACTGATCCTCGTGACAAAGTTTTTCCCCGAGCTCCTTTTTGAGCACTTATAACACTCTACAAATCATACCTAACACAGAAGGCTTGCTTCAGTGAGTTTGGCACATAATCATTTTATAAATATATATGATTACAAAATGTTAGTAATCGATATGATAGCTCTGATGAACCTTATGTATGTCCCGATAGGCAACCATCGCTATAAAATTACACGATGTATCAGATGATGAGTTAAGATGTATGCACAGAGGTCCGTATCTAAAAATAGACGCCCTCATGCATATTCATGACCATCTCCCCGAAGCCCGAAGCGCGATACTCACCTATGAGATCTTCAAGATGGCTGCAATTCTCTGTAACAAGAGTATATGAAATCTGAAATCTAGGATGAGGCGTATCAACGATGTTAGGTGTGGTTCTATAAAAGATTGAACGTGCAGTTACAAAAGTAAAAAATGCGATCTGATTTGTCTTACTTACTATACATGATGTGAGTTACCATGAGTAAATATTTAATGTAGCAAACTGAATCCCAGTGCATAACAGTTGATAACAGAAATGTTAGGTAAGTTTTACTCACGATGTATTTTCATATGAGCTGCAACATAACTCTTGATGGCCGTTCCTCCGCTCATACCAGTCTGTGATACTGAAACATTACAGGGTGGAATATAGTTTTATCATCATCATCATCATCATCATCATCATCATCATCATCATACGGAATAAAAAAATAATAACAGAGGAGCGTTGGGAGGCCTAAAAAGGTTCATCATCATCATCATCATCATCATCATCATTATATGGAGGGGCGGTCGGGTAGCCTAGTCGTTAAAGCGTTCGCTCGTCACGCCGAAGACCCGGGTTCGATTCCCGACATGGGTACAATGTGTGAAGCCCATTTCTGGTGTCCCCCGCTGTGATATTGCTGGAATATTGCTTAAAGCGGTGTAAAACCATACTCACTCACTCACTCATTATACGGAATAAAAAAAAACCAGAAGAGAGTTGGTAGGCCTAAAAAGGCTCATCGCCAGCTCAGGTACCCCTGTCCGATCCACACTCGGACAGCGAACGTGACTTCTCCCTGGAAGCGCTGCCTAATCGAACCCAACAAAAAACATTCCTGAGGACATGGCAACTCCCCAAAGCTGCAGCCTTCTGCACTGTCCCGATTGTCAGAAGGGCTCTATTCTCAATGGAAATCCCTGGTTCTCTCCTGATCTTCACAGGAGAGACCAAACCTAAGACAACGAGAACAATTGGAATTAGTAGTAGTAATAGAAGTAGTAGTAGTAGTAGTACAGCATACACAATTGCACATTACATAGGAGCATTTCTGACCTATATACACTTGACAAATTACATTTGTTATTGAAATATCTGGATCTGTAATAATTACAGTGGGAAAACCCTGAAGTTGATGTGGTGAGGTCAGGATAAGCCCCGTCTCCTTCCAATCCTGGCTGTCTGGCATTGTCCTGATATATCCGTTCTCGCTCCATTCTTACAGAGAATATCTGAAAAAAACCATTGGCAGTTAATAATCATCTTTTATAAATATGATATGGCGATTACCGATATATAATTAGAATTTACCCACGAAATGAAGTCATTTTATAAGCCCCGGTTATATGCAATCACTTTGCCTCTGGGGGTAAAATACTCGTGAAGACCCGGGGTAGAATAGGTCTTCAGCAACCCATGCTTGCTGTAAAAGGCGACTATGCTTGTCGTAAGAGGCGACTAACGGGATCGGGTGGTCAGGCTCGCTGACTTGGTTGATACACGTCATCAATCCCAATTGCGTGGATTGATGCTCATGATTTTAATCACTGGATTGTCTGGTCTAGACTCGATTATTTACAGACCGCCGTCATATAGCTGAGTGCGTCGTTAAACAACCAACCAACCAACCAACCAACCTAGGACGACGTGATATGATCATGCTTTGTCGCACTGTGCAATGTACAGAGCTGCCTAAAGATCATACCGTTTACACACTAGGGCAACGACTGGTATGTTGACGTTATTTTTATCCGAACCAATCAGAAGGTAGTATTTTAAAGTAAGGTGAGATAAAGCTTGTTACACCCCCTGTGACACGACTGTCTCTAGTTGGCTCTAGAGTTCATATCATTGACAGGTCTTTCATTATACGTGAGATGAGATCATAAAGTAAATAACACTACCAGCAGGGCAGCTCGACCTGGTGTTATCAGATGCAGCACTGCACCTGACACAGTGCAAATAGTGGCGGTCAGACAAGTACAGTGTTAACCGACGAACACCAGTAATGTGTTCGTCTGATGAATGCACAACTTTGTACAAGGAGTAAAATCAACTTGTGCAGATAATATCAAGTATAATATGGTATAAATATACATACATTTAAATATGATAACAGGAACAAGTGGTGTCAAACAACGAGGACATGTTTATACGAACACACGACATGCAGTAATATTATGCACGTTAGTATGGTGAGGTGAGGTGAAGTGAGGTGAGGTGAGGTGAAATGGGTTTTAACGTCGCGTCCAAGATTATTGCACTTATATAGCGACGTGCATGTACGTGTGTGTGGCTGCTTGTACTAGTCCGGACTGATGCCGATTTATGTGCTAGCTCACTGAGATACCATGCCGCAGTTTAACATGAATACCCCACTCAGACACAGTATACTGACTCCGAGCCGACCAGTCCTTGTTTTAGCCCCTTAATGCCGAGCGCCAGACAGGGTAACAACAAGTACCATCTTTTAACGTCTTTTGGTATGACGCGGTCGGGGATCGAACCCCGGACCTTCCGCTCTCCAGGCGGACGCTCTACCACAAGACCACGGAGGCGGTCCCGTTAGTATGGAACATTGTTGTCGCATCGCCGCGTTGTCGCTCTTAAAAGACGAGCAAAGAATGTGAAAATTATCCAAAGCGCGACAAGGCGACAGACACTTTGACCAATTGTTGTATTGTCGCGCGTTGTTTTTTTTTTACACATTTGTTTGTTTTTGTCAGGGTGACAACGCGACAATGTATTCACGACTTGCTTTTCTATTTTAAAATTATGTAATGGAGAAACCATGACACCGAAGGAATGGTATGATTGTATAACCGGGTAGGCACAGAAAAGCCGAGGACACGTATCGTCCGAGGTTTTTCTGTGCCTACCCGGTTATACAATCATACCATTCCTGAGGTGGAATGGTTTGTCCAACTTATTTATATACCGCTATGCCTTGTTAATTATTTATTTCTATCTTTGTAAATGAAATGGGGGCCCGGGTGGCCCAGTCTAGACGTCTAAGGCGCCGCGATTCGCCGTGCAGAGTTGCGTCCCTTGTGTGGGTTCGAATCTCGGTTCGCCCCGATTATGTTTCTAGGTTTGTCAGCACCATACCTGTGCTCGTGGGTTTCACCGAAGTGGTAAACGTCTGAGACCTGCATCACTTCGGGCTTTCGGGCTTTCCTCCCACATTTACGTCGCGATGTAACTGGAATACTGTTAAAAGCGGCGTTAAACCCAACTCTCTCAATCACTATAAATATGATAGAATTTAATGAAACCCCCTTTTCCCTTGATCTAATGAACAAACAGGCGGTTGCGTTTTAGAATGATTCATACATGTCGTATCGCAGTCATAGATATTGGACATGCATCAACCAAGTCAGCGAGCCTAACCACCCGATCCCGTTAGTCGCCTTTTTACGGCAAGCATAGTCACCTTTTGGGTTGCTGAAGACTATTCTACCCCGGAATCTTCACGGGTATATGTGGAGACAGTAAAATGGAACCCCGTTTGTCAATATTCGTTAACTGATCATCTTTACCTTAATCAGTGTATTTGTTAAACGTAAGTGTGTGCAAATGTAGTTTTACTAAAGCAGGCGGGATAACCTATACACTGGTGTGAAGTTAGTGAATGAGTGAGTTTGATTTTACGCCGCTTTTAGCAATATTCCAGCAATATCACGGCGGGGCACACCAGAAATGGGCTTCACACGTTGTACCCTTGTCGAGAATCGAACCCGGGTCTTCGGTGTGACGAGCCAATGCTTTAACCACTAGGCTACCCGACCGCCCCTCTGGTGCGAAGTGCCAATGCCTGACATGTTGTAAAAACCAGACTGATTGATCATTTAGGCGGTAAACCAGTACTAGCCGTTCTCAACGTCTGTAAGGGGAATAAACTTCTGGGCAGTAGTGTACAGCTTGCTTATCAGCGTGGGGCAGTACATGACCCGCCACTAGGTGCACCATAGCTACCTCGAGAAACACACTACAGTTAGTATACAAACGACACATCTTAAGACGTAGGAAACTGTATACAAATAACTTGGTTATATGCTATCATGTAATCAGTACATAAGATGTTCATATTCATAGGACTTCACGCCTTAATTCCAGTGTTGACCTACTTGCTCTTGGAACATTTACACGAAGTTTCAAAATGGACGCTATCGATTGTATCCATTACAATTTGAACTTGATTCTTTATGGTGTGAGTTAGCCCTATTACACGAAGCTACTGAATCTCCTCGACTGATGTAATCAAATTCAACATGGAAATTAAATAGCAGTATACTCACCACTGTGTCAGGGAGATGTTTAGATATGTCTATGCCCTTCTGATCGGGTTTTGTAAAGTGTCGCCGCTATCTGTGCTTCTTCTGACGTAACTTTATTGAAGTACCCTGTCTCCGTGACCACTCGTTATTTTCCGACTGGTGACGGAGATAACGATTATTAAGGAAGAGAATTTATGGATGACAACTTCTATATTAATGTTGTTCTCCTCAAAATAAAGACGTTGACATCCATAATGTCTCTTCCTTATGTGCATCACTTGTAAATGCCTTCAAACACTTCATAAGGATTATTGTTGCCAAATGTCTTGAGTGTTCACATCACTGCACTGACTGTCGTTTAATATCGGTGGTGTAAGTGTTCGGCCTTTCGTGTGTCATGTATTGTGTTTATCAGTTCAAAGAGCATTTATGACAACCTTGTTGCCCTGATAAAGAAAACCTGTAAACGTGGAAATAGTTCTGTCTCAACTCACAAAGGTAAAGAACTTCACAATATATTCAAGTTATGGTAGCATATCAAGAATGATATAACATAAAAGAGACACTAGGCTCGCATCTCATGGCAGTCCTATCAAATTTTAAGTCAATAAATGAAAGCGATAAAACCCTTTCCTTATTCATAAGAAATCTCTGCTAAAAGCCTAGTCGGTTGTACGATTCCGATTATGTCATTAGCATTTATTACGAATCATTATCAAATAGTGATGACTCCAGGTGTTCGCGAACGTATCCTGCTCCACTGTTGGCACCCGTCACGAACGGCAAGTCAATTGTTCAGAATTCAAGTCATTTGGTTCAAGTAATTCAAAACTATATTTGTCTGTAA